TAAAAAAAGATTTGGTGAGATGGGAGATACCTCTCTCCATGTTTGGAAGGATTGAAACAGTGAAAATGAATATACTGCCGAGGCTTCTCTTCCTATTTCAATCTCTTCCTGTTTTGGTTCCAGTCTCAGCGTTTAACAAACTAGAAAAATGTATTTCAAAATTTATCTGGCAAAATAAAAGACCAAGAATAAGACTTAAATACTTATGTCAAATAAAGACACAGGAGTTTGAACCTTCCTAATCTTAGATACTATTATTGGGCTGCTCAGCTTAGGGCTATGGCTGCTTGGCTTGGCATCGATAAAGAGGCAGAATGGGTTAATATTGAACAGAATTCACTTCCTGGAGTCTCTTTGACAGTTCTGCCATTCATGGACTTGCAAGCACAGAAAAGAGTGAAGAAAATAAATATATGGATTCAGCATACTGTCAAAATTGGTCCACAATACAAAAAAAGTTTAGAGGAGTAATAACTTTATCACGTGCAATACCTATTAAAGGCAACCCAGATTTCCTTCCTTCTATATGTGATAGTGCCTTTAATAGATGGGAAGAGAGTGGTCTAAAGATTAATTAATCAAATTTTTGATTGAGAAACCATAAAATCTTTTTCTCAGTTATTGATAAGTTTACATTGAGATGTAATGATCTCTTTAGATATTTACAGCTACGACATTATATCACAACTCATAAGCATTGGGACATAATTAAAAGATCTCCAACAAATTTTGAAAAATATTTTATCAATATCATCGAACATGATCTACCTACTAAAAATCACATAGCTCATATTTATGGGAGGTTAATGCAGGATCAATCTGATGACACATTGCATATAAAAATAAATTGGAACTAGAGTTAAATACTGTAATAGAGGATGAGATGTGGACAAATATATGTGCTGGCTGTCATAAGGGTATTAGCAGTCAAATGTGGAAGGAATTTGACTGGAAAATGAAAATGAGATTCTTCAGAGTTCCAACTGGTGGTTGCCAAATTCGACAGTACTTCGCCATTATCAAAATGCTGGAGAGATTGTGGGATGGTGGGGGACTATGTGCATATATTCTGGAATGCCCAAAAATACAAGTGTATTGGCAGGGTTAAGAGGAAGTTGATAAAGTTTTA